CGATGCACCACACTGCATGTAGCATTGAAGTATTTCTTTCAGTAGGTTCCACATTTAGATACTTTCCATCTAGGCACTGAAAATTAGTTGCCACCAAAAAGAAGAAGAAATTAAAATGCCCAGGGGTACTGAAAACTACGCGCCACTGGAAATAAATGTGTTCTCAGGATTCATGTCAACAGAAAGTGTTGCTGGGCGAGATGTGTATGTGGCATAAACAATGCAGTCATTCAAGAGAAGGAGCCTGACACCATGCGGTAGACGACGATGCAGTCATTCAAGGAAAGGAGCTTGTCACCATGCAGTTGACAACGATGCAGTCATTCAAGGAAAGGAGATTGTCACCATGCGGTCGTCAATGATGCAGTCATTCAAGGGAAGGAGCTTGTCACCATGCGGTTGACAACAATGCAGTCATTCAAGGAAAGGAGATTGTCACAATGCGGTTGACAACAATGCAGTCATTCAAGGAAAGGAGCCTATCAATGGATGGTGGACAGACATAGTCCGTACCTTGAGTAGTCCACAGATGTAAGAAGTGCTATCCTTCTTGACACTGGCCACGACTGTCAGGGCAGAGCGCTCGTCCTCCAGCTCTTCATATACCTACAGACGAACATGCAGAGACGAGATATACAAGGAGATACAGATGAATGCTCAAATAAACGTGCACACACATACACACACACACATACAGTTGAACATCGATTATCCGACCACCTCTGGGCAGACAACTGTCAGGCGGTGTTCAGATAAGGCAAATGTTCTGGATAAGAAAAAACTGTCACTCACACACTTTCAGTGGTTATTACTAGCCGCACGACCTTTTTACTTTTTACTTCTCAAAATTTTCGTATTTTTTGAATGGCTCACTACATGCACAGTGCGTACTCTACGGGACTTGCGCCCAAAAAATCTGTTACGGATAATCGAATGGTCGGATAGTCGATGTGCGGATAATCGATGTTCAACTGTACACAGAAGCACAAGAGCTTTTAAAACACATTCTTGAAGTACACATTAAAATGCACACCTAAGATCTGTAGGACTCTTGGCGGTGAAATAATCATGCCGATCGCTCGTCACTCACTCATCTCAAATGCCGTACTCGGTACTCGTTAACAGCTGCAAAATGTGCTTATCAAGACTGGTCAGGCTTTTCAGACACTGAAAAGCAAGCAGCAGGCTAGGCCACACTCATACACGCGCGCACCCCCTCACCCCCCCCCCCCCCCCCCCCCACACACACACACACGCACAACGACTTACACCCCTGATACTTGGAATACGAAGACGCAGGTGCTTTATAACAATACAGTGTACCGTCAGAGCTATTGGTACAATGGAGAACACCACGTGTGATGTCCATCCTCCTTCTCCCCCCACACACACACATACATACACACACACCAAATACTGCTCACCTCACGAAATACAGCACCAATTGAGGCACCAGGCCGTTCTCTTCGGACCTCGATGATCTGCACTTCCCAGCGTGATCGGGGTGACCCGCCACTTGGGGCCCATGCATCTCGAGCTGCATGGGGAAATTACATACATGTGTATACACACACACACACACACGCGCGCGCGCGCACGAGCGAGCGAGCGTGCACGCATGCACACACATACACAGCGAGAGGGTGATCATCTATATTGCAGTGAACAAATTATACCATGCAGGAGGAGGAGAGAAAGAAAGAGAGAGAGAGAGAGAGAGAGAGAGAGAGAGAGAGAGAGAGAGAGAGAGAGAGAGAGAGAGAGAGAGAGAGAGAGAGAGAGAGAGAGAGAGAGAGAGAGAGAGAGAGAGAGAGAGAGAGAGAGAGAGAGAGAGAGAGAGAGAGAGAGAGAGAGAGGAACGCATCGCTAGCTCACGCACCTACACCAAGTGTACAGTAAAGATGAGTGGCATGCTGAACCTTCGGTAAACGTGTCGCCTCAACCACCTCCACTTTCAGCAGTCCCTGGCTGAGAACTTCACCATCAATGTTCAAGTACGCCTGAAGGTGGACAGCGTTTCGAGAACAGGGCAGAGAGAGAGAGAGAGAGAGAGAGAGAGAGAGAGAGATAGAGAGAGAGAGAGAGAGAGAGAGAGAGAGAGAGAGAGAGAGAGAGAGAGAGAGAGAGAGAGAGAGAGAGAGAGAGAGAAAGAGAGAGAGAGCACAGTGGAAAAGCAACAAAACATTTATGTGTGCATACTTCAGGGCAGGTAATGACACTTGCCAGAAAAAGTACTCAGCTAAGCCGAGGTGAGGGAGCAAAATACTCAATCTCCGTGCAAAGCTGGCTGTTTTTCCTCGCAGTTCAAGCACTCCTCCGCTGATGAGACCCAACAAAGTCGAAACAGCTACAGCTGTCCGGAGATTGAGCATGCACTTTGAAGACTTGGCACCTCCTTCATTGTACTTCACTTCAGTACAGTCGTCTCTTGACAAACTAGTAGAGTTTTTCGGAGCCAAAATATGAATACGTAACCAGTCATGCATAGTACAATATCAGAGTATGTACTTGGAATCGGATTTGCTTACGCATGACCAATACTGTGTCAGAAGAAATGAAGTTGTACTGGCCAAGTCAGGATCAGTGGGAGACTGGTGCACATGTACATATTTGCTAGACCGTGTGCCCAATGACCCAAAGACGTGAACATGAACCAAGAACCGCACACAGCGACTCCCCATCCTGTGGAGCTTTTTTGCAGAATACGGTACAAGCAGAAATAGTCGGTGAACAATTTCGTTCAGCTCTAAAGAAAGGGAGTTTGTCCCGTTGAAAATTTAGCCATGGATAAATCGTATTACAGACGAATATGTCTGCTTGTACAGTAAGGTGATGTGACGAATTGATCATACTCACTTTCTTGTCCTCATCTTGAGCCTCCTGACGAATGAAGAAAGGCTTGTAGCGAACCTTGAAGTTCGGCAGTGTGTGCTTCTTACGAACAGATCTCCGAATCTACGGGGAATAAGAAGAAAACAACAGGTTAATAACACATGGGTTACTGGTGTAGGTGACCACTGTAGTGGTCTTAACACGGCGAAAACTAGTCATCGTGGTGGTGGCTGCTTTTCATCTCACATTCCTCACAAAATGAGCATTTGTCACTTCATTGGCAATAGGGAGCGAAACGAAAATTCGTTGAGTTGGAATTTGTTCACTACACCTCCAGCTTGCAACGCACAAAGTCCTACACCAAGTACAACGTTTGTTTCAAAATTGTCACCCAAGAGGGCATCATCAGGTTGCTACCGTCGCACCTTTTTACACTAAACCTTCAAGGACAAAGAAGGGAACGCGACTTACAATCGAGAGGACATCCTACTTACATGCATGTATTGAAAACAATGTGATTCAAACCTAAAAGTGAAGGTGCGACTTATAATCGAATGCGCCTTACAATCGGGAAATACGGTACCTGCATTCGAACATTCTTCTGGTGTCAGTAATCTAGAATATTCGAATAATTGGAATATTCCTTGCACCATTAAATTGTCTACTTTCCAATACTGTGAGGGAATGCACTTCATCTTGCCAAAGCACGCAGGTATGTGTATACAAGTAGGTGCACACAAGTACCCCCCCCCCCCCCCCCCCTAGTGACTGACCTGCGAGCGAATGAGCTTGGTGAGCTGATCCAGAGATTTTCCAGCTAAAGTACTCTTGATGTCTAGTTCCATGTCCGGTTCCTGAGTCAGCAGACAAACCAGTCAACCACAGCAGCAGTAAAACAAGCAACAGCAGCAACAGCCGCAGCAACAGCCGCAGCAACAGCCGCAGCAACAGCCGCAGCAACAGCCGCAGCAACAGCCGCAGCAACAGCCGCAGCAACAGCCGCAGCAACAGCCGCAGCAACAGCAGCAGCAGCAGCAGCAGCAGCAGCAGCAGGAACAACAGCAGCAGCAGGAGTAGAAGCAAGAACAGCCACAGCACAGATGTGGAGTAACTGTTGCACACTTTAGAATGTACTCAAGCCAGCACTAAGGATTGGACTATACAACAAGTCAACAACATAGCATCAGATCCTCCAAGACCATAGCACTAGCCTGATCCTGGCAGTTCTTCATGAATCAACCTGTATGTACTTCACAATGGCCCTAGGGAGTTCAAAGCAAACGGACAACGAGATGAAAACCATTCAAGCAAGTCATCTCTCACCTTGCAGAACGCAAAGCACCAGTGGGTGAACGGAAGACGTGAAAACTTGAGCACGACGCGTCCTTCCAGCTTGTTGACACGTACCGACACGGACGCACTCTTGCCAAGCACCTAGAAAGAGCAAAAACGTCACACGCATGCATGTAAACACATTGACCCTGTGTGCATGACCTGGACCTGAAACAGTCAACTAAAGGCAATGCAGTGCGCCGAACAGGCAAGGAGGGTTTCAACCAAACTGGCATTTCGGAGCGGTGTTCTTATTTTCTTTGCAGCAACGGCGATCGTAAGAGCGAAAACAACAGACGTGCAGTACCAGCAACAGCAGAAGCAACAGCAACAGCAGCAACAACATCACAAGCAAGCAACATCACAAGGAAAAGAACAGAACACAATGGCACTCACCAACATGGCATCTATTGCAATATGGAAACCACCACTGTTGACCAACAACAACAACAAAACAGCACGTAAACGGCACCCATGCACACACACATGCATACAAGAAGAACGTGAGACATGCACTTTGAAGTACTACTTGAAGTGGGTAAATCATGGAATTCTTCAAAACCGAACAGGTTTTTTGTCGCAAAAACAGAATTGATTGATATTGGGAAAGTAGTGGTCGGTGGGTCGGAACCATTTGGATAGTTTCTCAGGTTATGTCCCTGCTACTAGTATCTGGCATACATGAACAGATTGAGTCCGTCACGATATATTCTTTGTCAAAAAAGTATTCTTTCTAGACCAAAGAGTGGTATAATTATATGATAGATACAGATAGAAATATTTACGATACTTCTCCAGACGTTTCGTTGTAATTTGTTCTGAGCAACATCGTCAGT